AGAGGATTACAACCTGAATCTGTGAGAATCCAAGAGGAAGAACATGGTTTAGGACTGTGAGAACCACAAGGAAGAATGTACACAAGGACTGTGAGGACATGGTTGGAGGAAAGTGATCTGGGACTGAGAAATCCTAAGAAGAGGAATGGGACCTGGGACTATGTGGACCTAATAGGAAGAATATGACATAAGGCTGTGAAAACCCAAAGGGATGAACTTGATCTGGGGCTATGAGGTCCCAGTGAGTGGAAAGTGTCCTGAGTCAATGAGAACCCAGTGGGAGGAATGTGCCATGGGACGATGGGAACAACTGGTAAGGCAAGAATGACAAAGGAAACAGCAGAACAGAGAATAACAGGGATAACAAAAAGACAACATCACTCAGATCTACAAAAGACAGGAAGTTGTGGAGAGCCATGATCAGTAACAGCCTGAAAGGATATGACATAGAGACAAAGAAAAAGGAGTTTGTGTAAATGGTTAGTAAAACAGGGAATAAGATGAATAACAAAAAGACTAACTTCACTCAGAGCTACAAAGGACAGGAAATTGTGGAGAGCCATGATTGCCAATGTCTCGAAGGGACATGACGCATAGACAAAGAAAAAGGCACTTGTGTAAATGGTTAGTAGAAAAGGGAATAAGAAGGATAGCAAAAAGACCAACTTCACTCAGAGCTACAAAGGACAGGAAGTTGTGGAGAGCCATGATCGCCAATGTCTCAGACGGACATGACTCATAGATAAAGAAAAAGGAGGTTGTGTAAATGGTTAGTAGAACAGGGAATAAGAAGGATAGAAAAAAGACTAACTTCACTCAGAGCTACAAAGGACAGGACGTTGTGGAGAGCCATGATCGCCAATGTCTCAGAGGGACATGACTCATAGATAAAGAAAAAGGAGGTTGTGTAAATGGTTAGTAGAACAGGGAATAAGAAGGATAGAAAAAAGACTAACTTCACTCAGAGCTACAAAGGACAGGAAGTTGTGGAGAGCCATGATCGCAAAGGTCTTGAAAAGACATGACACATAGATAAAGAAAAAAAGAGTTTGTGTAAATGGCTAGCAGTCAGGGAATAAGATGGATAGCAAGAAGGCAAAATTCACTGATAGCAACAAAGAACAGGAAATTGTGGAGAGCCATGATCGGCAATATCTTGAAAGGACATAATACATGGAAGAAGAAAAAGGAGCTTGTGTAAATGGCTGGAAGAACAGGATTTAAGAGAGATAGCAAAAAAACAAAATTTACTGAGCTACAAAGGACAGGAAATTGTGGAGAGTCATGACTGCACACATCGTAGATGGACAAGGTGCCTAGGAGAATAAGCAAAATTGTTTTGTACATTTTTAGGCTAGTATCTCCATCCATATTATTTTATTTCAACTCTTATGTTCTTTGTGTTTTCTCAAGTGTATGTAGCATCTTGCATTTATTTATTACTAGCAGTAGAGCCCGGCATTGCCCGGGAATGTAACAGTAAGAGATAGATCAAGTATCGACCATCATATAGACTGAAAAATAAAATTGACAAAGATTGTTGTTTAAGGTTGATGGCCACGCATGTCTTAATTAGTTTTTTTTTTTTTTTTTTTCAAATTAGTCAAACCCAAACTCAAACAAAAACATTGTTTTCAATCGTTATGAGTCTCTACCGATTGAATAGAATTTATTATAAACAATTGTTTTGTAAATGGAATTTTTAAAGCATTCAGAATGTAAAAATAAAGAAAAAAGTATGCAAGACAATAAGAAACACTACCTGCCAAAAAGAAAGTGAAGTTTTGTTGAAATCGGTTGAAAAATGTAAGAAATCCGATCCCATATATAAACGAACACACACACACACACACACACACACAAACAACCTGGGTTTTATAAGTATAAGTCGATATGAGTTTCATTCTCGAAACAGCGATGCCTCTTAATTGTGTTTTCAAATTGATTTCGTGCAAAAACAATTGTGTTTTTCCCATTTTTGGCCCTGTCAGAACCACCGCAAGGTAATTTTACGTAGTCCTGTGAAGTTTTTTTTTTTAAATCGGTTGAAAAATGTAGGAAATCCGATCCAATATATAAACAAACAGACACACACACACACAACCTGGGTTTTATAATAAGTATGATTTTTTGTTAGTTTTATTTTTCACTATTTCTAATTGACTACTAAGAACACTGCAGGCGGAAAATGACCAAAGATGTCCACTAAAATGTTGTGATAAAAACATCAAAGATGAAGATACTAGTCTGAATGACACACAGATTAATGAAAATAGCTATTATTTATAGTAGTTTAGACAAAGAAAATTCTTTAGTCAAGGGAGATAATCTCTTGCAAAGGGAGGTAACTATGTGATTACCTCGCATACTGATATTTTAAATTTTACGGAAATGTTATTTTTTTGTTGCCACTCTTTCTTTCGTTATTTTTTTTTAACATGTCTGTTTTTATCGATTAATTAAATTTTATACACCTGTAAAAATATTTTAAACAATAAAATTTGAAATAAAATGTCGACCTTACTTGTATAATGATTGACAAGTTCCTCAAGTGAACGGAAAGTTCGCTTTGGTGTGATGTAATAAACTTCCTTTTCACCATCGCTTGCTTTTTTGGTTAGAATCTTGTAATGTTTCACCAGGTAACCCCGCAATTCGTCACAGTCACGAACTGACAAGGTATACGTGTCTGGAAAAAAAAATATATATATATAAAATAAAAAAATAAATATACAACATAAAAAAATAAGATAAAGAATTCAACAAACTACAAGTTTGGAAATTCTTTATGCAGAGAACATTTTTCAAAGAAAGTAATTCCAAAAATTATACATAGAGGTAATGTATATAATTTTAATGAACGCAAAGACGCAATTTCATTTTGTTTCTCATATTTACAGACAAACCTTGGACTCGCTGAAAATTACAATAAGATGACAGAGATTATCATTGATTTACAGACTATATTAACATTTTATTTTGGCATTATATATTTTTAACTCATAGGTACCATATTTTTTGGCTTAGAAAATGCTGCGGCTTGGAAGACATACCCTAATATTGAAAAGAAATTTCAAAGAAAAAAAAAGTCATTCTAATACAACACATTTACCATGCGTTCCTCACATACTGGCGCCATATATTGTTTACATTAATCATTCATCAGTTTTTGTTTGTATAGCAATGACATACTAAAGATCAGAAAGGCTCCTGCCACTGGTAGTAAACAGAGCATGCTTAAGCTTGTGGCTCAGCTCCAGGAAGGTGTATAGTCTTGTAAATACGTGTAACAGCTAAGTACTGAGGTTACATCATATAAAAGGCAGAATTAGACAGAGAGCTAACATTATAGTGTAATGGCTAAACATACAATTCCACATCCCTATCAGTCAAGACAATTAAGTGGCCGTCCAAGCTTACTTGAGCCTGGGTGTTGCCTTACATTCATTTTGGAAGATGCGCACATATTTTTCAGGGTATTTCTTTAGGAAAAAAAACTGAGTCTTGTAAAGCCAGAAAATATGGTAAATAATTATACAAAAGAATAAAGATGGTATTCAGCTTCTACATGCCATGCCTCTTCAAGATGTGGGCGATCATGGCTCTCCATAATTTCTTATCCTACGTAATTCCTAGTAAATTTTGGTATTTTGCTAGCTCTCCTAAACTTTGTTCTGAAAACCATTTACACAAACTCTTCTTCTTCTTCTATGTGTCATGTCCCTTAAGGTCGTTAGTAATCACGGCTCTCCACATTTTCCTGTCCTTTGTAACTCTTAGTAATTTAGTCTCTGTGCTATCTCTCTTCAACCCTGTTCGGCCAAACATTTACAGAAGCTCCTTATTCTTCTATGTGTTGTGTCCCTTGGCAATCATGGCCCTCCACAATTTCCTGTCCTCTTAGTAAATTTTGTTTTTTAATATCTATCCTAAACCTTGTTCCACCATTCATTTACACAAGCTCCTTCTTCTATGTCCTGTGTCCAACCAGGACCTGGATGATCACAGCTTTCCTGTCCTTGTGCCACACCAGGATCTGGTTTAGCTTTGTTATAGAACTCATTAGGTCGATAGTCCGATGGAGTTCACATTCTTTTGCACCTGGCTTCTTAGTTAATGCTATGAAAATGGATCTTCGGTCTTCTAGTGCCATTTTTGTAGATTACATTTATTATGTCTGTAATCTTGTCAATGCCCTAATCATCTCAGGCTGCCAGTATCTCTATTGCAATTTCAGCTTACAGCCACATCACATTAAAACACTGATTCCTGTATGACTACCGGTTAAGCAACATCGAGCTCAGTCAGTACCTAGATGGGTGACCGCTGGGGAAAACCAGGTGCTGTAAGCTTGGATGTGTGGGTGGTGTAATGGATAATGACTTAGAATTGTCAGTGAGTGAAGTTCCCATTCCAGTTGGGTTCATTATATTCACTCATGCACAAATACCCATGGGATAGTTATTAATCCACCTCTTCTCCCCCCAACTATGGGTTAATTAGTAAGACTTGTATTACTAAAACCATTAAAAAAATAATTTTAAATAAAATTGTGTACAATATATTTAGATTTTGGCAATAAATAACCCAAAGATGTTGATATGCTGCTAAAAACAAAAAAAAAAAACAAACAATCAACAATCTATTACAATATTCATAAAGCAATGGTTACATAGTGCTTCTTAACGTTTTTCCTTGTTTACACTGCTTTCAAACCGCCAGCTAGTTGTCACACCCCTTTCAAACCACCAACCAGTTCTCACACTGCTTTCAAACCGCCAACTAGTTGTCACACCCCTTTCAAACCACTGACCAGTTCTCGCACCCCTTTCAAAAGGCCAACCAGTTCTCAAACTCCTTTCAGAATTGATGAAAAACAATATTAATCTCATAATATAAACTTTTATGTCAGATCGCCAAATACTGCACTAGCCTTAATAAACCAAACCTAATAATTCAGTATCATCGCATCACCCCCACTCCTTGGAGCCAGTATCGCA